AACTATGCTGTCACCCGAGATGACCGTGACCCTGTATGTCATTGTAATTGGCATGCTGCTGTGGCGCTTCCTTTGTGACAACAAGGGAACTTCATCATGGAGCTCCACGGTTACAAGAACGACCTGGACTATGACTTCAACGAGCTCTACAGCGGCCGAGACACAGACCGAGAAGGAGCCTGAGACTTCCTTTGGTGCCCTCCGCACCGAGAACCTGCGGCTGCAAGACATTGTGAGAGACCAAGAAGCTGAACTATTTGACCTACAAGCCCAATGCAGAGCACAAGAAGAAGAGATTGAACAGCTCATCGACATCCGAGAGTACATGAGGATCGAGATGCGCGAGATTGACACCGAGTACAAGAAGGCCCGCGACAACTGGATCGATGCGCACAACCGCTTAGCTGCGGTACGTGATCAGCTCTCCAGAAATTGGGTCCCAGATGCGGTCATCACCACCCGCACTGGAAAGTCCTACCACACCTATGCAGACTGTCAAGCTTTGGCCTCCTCTGATGCCACCCAGCTGAGACAGTGGAACTGCTGCGCCTTTTGCAGCCAGAAGCATTTAGAGTTTTGGAGGTCGTATTAAAGACCACCGGTGTGAATTGTACGCCGTACAACTTGAGTTTGAGCAGCTTTTGACCGCCGGTCGCTGCCACTTGGCTCTCCTGCACCCCGCAGGGGCCCCTTGAGACCTCACGTGCTGCGCACATGCAAAACAGGCAGACACCTTGTTTCATTTCCATCCCGACACTTCGTGCGGTCGCGATACAACACGAGTTTCCACTTCCGTGTTTTCATAATACCCCTTTTGGCGACCCCAAATCTAAAAAGAACAACATCAACGCTTTTTTATTAGGGGGGGCGCGTGGAAGGGATTGGTTGGATTCCACAGAAGGCCTTGAAAAAGACTGACCCGACAGCATCAAAATTCTGCAGTAGGATTGGTCTCAGTCTTGGTATGTCTTGGTACCAGTATCGTTTGAAGAAGCGCTTCTGCGATCCCCGTGTCCGGAAGAGACCAAGTCAACGACCTCCCTCATAGTCTCGCCCAGCACTGTTCAGGGCAATCACCACCTGGGTGCTTTCGGTCGCAGAAAAAACTCTTCCATGAGAACGCCTTCCAAATTGTGTCCGAATATTTGGGAACTTTGGGGCGTTGCCAACTTGTGTGGAGTCTCTGCAAGGAAATAGTTTCAAGACCTAAACGGAAGAGTGGACTCATATACTGTTGATGTCGTAAACGAAAATCCGCTCTTTTGTGGCACTTGCCCACATCAAAGGTTTGTAATGTAGCTCTTTACAAACACATGGACAAACCTTGCTCAGCACCGGGCAGTGGCAAAGGCCTTTCAAGAACTGGGAACAGCAAATTGCATCGATCATGCTTGAGCGATACTGTTGCATGCAGGTGACCAAGTCATCAAATAGAAAGCATAATTATCATAAGAACAGTGCTGGCATTGCTGGCCTGTCCATCCGTATGGGGTGGGTCTCGGTATCTTTCACCCAAATCCTTCGCGAACATGCTGCGAGGAAGACTTTGAGTTGGACGCTGGGAATGTCCGGAAATGATGGAAAGAATGAACCAGGAGTCAAGTTCGTTTGTACCAACTAGTGTACAAACAAGCTTCAATGCGCATGAAATATATAACTGGAGTCAAATAGTCTAGTGCTGAAGCTCGCATCGCTCAAAAAACATGCCTAAAGGATCTTAAAGGCAAGGGCCTAGTTTTAGGCTAGATTGGCAACATTTATTTACAACCTCCCTTGCATTCCACAATGATTGCAATCCAATCTCAGTGTCCACAAAAACTGAGCTGCCTGCCATGGAATAACGCCGCATGATGGAGGAACATACTACACCTGCGACCATGGATGATGCTGCCGGGAAGCCTTACCCAGAAAGTTGCGAGTAGGTTGCAGTGTTGCGCCGGATTGTGTACTGTTTGTCCGTCAAACAAGTCTGGGCTCATCGTCAATCGAGAGGAAACCATTAGCTGGTCATACTCTTGAACAAGTTCCAGATTCTATCAACTCCAGGGTGATTCATTAGATTCATTAGTATTCATTAGTCAATACTAGTCAGTATATTATTCATTAGACATCACCATGCGGACCCGCCATGAAACGCTGAGTCCCATGACTCCATGTCACCGTCCGAATCGTCTGAGCGGTTCGCGCCGGGGGTTGCATCAACAAGACTCGGGCATCATCTGGAAGTTCATTGTATCAACAAGTTCTGCAAATGCGCAAACACGCAACCAACCATGACTCTGTCCAAAAGAGATCTGGAGAAACCAACTTACCAAAAGAGATACGCCAAGACTCTGAGACTCCCAATGCGCCACAGACCGGTCGACCCACTCCCATCTGCCGCGGACCGGTTACGCCGGCCCAAGGCGAAGTGGTCTGGGTGTCCCAAACAGCTCGGACAGCCCAGATGCGCGCGCAAGTACGGCAAAAGGCGACCTGCAGAGCGAAGGACAAGCTGCCTGAAACTCGAGGAAAGAACGGGAAGTTTGAGCTTGCAAGAAGTGGTAGGACCAAACAGCAAAACATTACCCAATCTAATATAGCTTTCAATTCTGCATGACGCGATGCCAGAAGGCAAATGAAGCACAGTACCTGTCATCTGGGATTGTAATTGTGCTTGTCTGGCTTTGTGTGATGGGGAACATCCATTCATCCATGAACCAAATAGAACAAAGGTGAACCAACTTTGCGAAGACCGTGGGGGAGAAACCGTGCTCACTGCTTGGACCTATGGTCCAATAGTTGCGCACGCAAGATCTCGCTCACATGTGCAAAGGACAGAGTTGCTGCATGAAATTGTATGTCAATCTTCGCAATTCCGTCCTGGCTCTGCGACCCATGAATCTTGTGGGGCCTTACCCAAGGTTGACCGCTCTCTGTTCATTAAATTGTTTGAGGTGACAGAGAGTGGAATCGGCCCAAACGCACAATCTCCGAAAGCTCCATCAATGCCACGCCACGTGAGTTGGACAAAAATGGCACTCCGAGTGGATGCTGTTCCTCTGTTGGGGTTCCCTTCCACCCGCCAAATGCTGAATGCATGGGAGCAGTTCCGACCATTCAGCTCATGATGCAGTGTCTGTCTGCAGTGTCAAATGTTCTGCTTCAGGCACTTGCTGCAGTGCACATACTTTTGGCATCTTTTGGCAAGGTTCACACACACACACACATCCTGCATTGCAGGCAGGGCTTGGCACTGCGCGTGATGTCAAAATACTCAGAAACACTGCTGCTCGCTGCTCTGTGGCTTTTGGGGCTCAAAGGGCTGGCACGAAAGCGCACGATCTGCCTGCCTTGGGCTCAAGTTGTCATTCCTGACTCCTGACTATTCCAAACAACATCATATCATATCATATCCATGAATTGCCAAAGAAAGGAGATGCAACCTCCCATGCCCCCAGACGTTCAACCAAGACCCCGGACCTTCGATGTAGGGTCGCATCTTCTCGACCAAGAGCTCTCTTTGAGGCCTGGAGGTGGCAAAGGTCTCCTAAAACAGAACTGGTGATCACGTCTCAGTCCCAGGAAATAGGACAAATATGGACAAATGGAACAAGAATGAACAACATAACTGGTGATCCTATAACATCTCTCAAATCAACACAGGCCTAGGATACTCTCGGTGGTTTAGCCTGGTTTAGCCGGTGGACTTGGTGAGTTGGTCGAGCCCGGTCCTCTGAGCTTCCGACACCGGGCGCCCGGCGCGCTCGAGCATGATCCATCTCTTTGGGACCTGGGGCTCACGGAGCGGGATTAAGTCTTCAAGCCGAAGCACTTGGCACAATGCAATTGAATGCCATTTGCAAGTTCAACTGTTGTTTGACTTGCTATGCTCTTGCTTGTTGTCATGGAGTCTAGAAAACACGTCTGTCAAGCAAACCACCAAGTGAGAATGTCAGTCCGCGACCATTTCCACATCTGCTCGGTCCTTGCTGTCAGCACAGTCCGGCAAAGCCACCACATTCAAAATTCTTCAATATTCAACTCAAGTTAAACAGTTAACACCCGTGAACGACCAAAAGGGCTGCACAAATGTCACAAAGCCCATGCTAGTACTTGGCGACCACGCCACCTATGTATGCTTTCAGCCTCTTCAAGCTAATGACGCCTGAAGTCTACAGTGGAGACCGCCTTCCTGAAGTTGACCGCCGCTGGAGAATGAAGGAACACTAGTGCAGTGCGACCGAGAAAAACTGTGTTATATAAATCTACCTGGACAAGTTCATCCACTGACAATATGGCAATGGAGTGTAAAACTATGTAAAACAATACAAATAAGCTATACAATCCTCAAATCTGCTCGAACGTACCCGGGGCCTGAAGCCAGGAACGGCTGTATATAACCCTGAGTGTTCCGCTGTTCCATTGCCAAGAAGCTAAATCAAAGTGCTCTGGCACATGCAGCAGGAGTCCTGGCTACCAACCGCCCGTGACGCCATGACACGGCGACCCGTGACGCTGCAAAGCTGAGGTGAATGTCCTCCACAAAAGAATTCGGGTCTAAAAACGAGATAACAAAACACTGTGAGGCCCCTTTAAAGGGGCTTATAACCTTCTCTTTGTCCATGTTTTACCAGTGGCCTCCTGTTGCACAGGGACATGTTGAGCATATTCATATGCTTGCCAACTCCAAGTTGCCCAGTTCTGTAGCCACATATATTCTGCAAATTATTCAAACTATTCGTGCAAACTAGTAGCGACGCCCTTCGTTACTAGTAGCGTCCTTGCAATTATCAACATATGTTTGCATGATACATTATGTAACATGTTATATATGTACCATATATACCTGTAGCTGCATAGAAAGAGTTTACAAATCATTGGCACGTCCGAAGTGCCTTCCACCTCTTTGGGTGTCAAAAGGCCCTTCAGCAAGGTCATGCCCTTGGATGCCGAAAGGATCCTTCGACCTCTTGCTCTGATTTCGAAGAACTTGTATTGGATACTACTGCACCATCTGGAAACAAGAGTCCGCTTAGCTTATCTCAATTGTGTCCCAGAAGTTGAGTTAAAGTTGAAGGTGCCCTGGACAGCATAACGGCCCAGTTCCACAGCAATGCGGTTCACTGGACATCAACCGAGTCGCCACTTGCTGGGCGCCACCCGGTAGCGTCCACTGCAAGCTCAAACGCGCTTCAGTGCACGTGCCCCCATCAGAGAGACGGAGCACGTGCGCCGAAAGGACCTGTCGATGTGATGCCAATCGGTTTTAAGTAGTCTCTTGTTCCTAGTAGTACGACAAGGAGCCCCTAGTAGCGTCCTTGCTCCTAGTAGCGATGCCAGGAGCCCCTAGTAGCTTCTTGTTACTAGGCAATGTCGATGAGTCGTATCAACAGGCCATTTTGGGGTGCATATTTTTCATAGGGAGACCTGGACCTGGCTGGGTGGACCTGTCTATTGAGGTCAAACTGGGAGGTCTCCCGATGCAATCGCACAGACATTGTTGATCCTGGAGACCCACCCACAGTGCCAACAAAACGCAAAAAACACACACAACACATCTCTTTGATCGTCCACCTGGGTGAAGATTGCGCCATTTTGATCGAGGCCGTTGGTGCCGGCTAGACGGCCAGTAGCAACCATCGGCGTTTAACATGTCTAGTACTTGCGCTTCCTGATTCCACAAGACTAAGCTGGTTCGTGCAGAAGTACTCAGGGCAACCCCCACATGATTTTTAAAGTTTAAAGCATTGAGTGTTGACTAGTTGACTGGTTGGATGTTGTCCGCTTCATTTGGTGCAAGTACGTCTCCGCTAAAACCGACATTGACACCGACCCCACCAAGGCCGCACCATCTCTCCCATGGTCCACCTGAACTTGGCTGCTCGAGCGGGCGCCAAGGGATCTTCGAGACTTCCTGGGCTCGACACCGGCAGTGGGACGGTGGTCAGTGACTCGAGTATTCAGTGTCACTGGAATTCAGTGCTCAGGCATTCTTTATTCGAAGCGGCTGAAATCCCACAGGGATCCAAAAGGTTCAATCAATAGCCCACAAGTTGCTGCTGAAACATCTGTTCAGGCCCCTTCTCCAGTTGGAAGAGCTGTCCTCAGCGGCGTAAAAAGCCGGCGGATCTGCGCTGCGCGCAGCGTCCAGGAGGCCTCGAGGCGTTGAGACGCGCAGCGTCCAGGAACTCCTCGTGGAGTCTGAAGAAGTGACAAGCACAGTAGCCGCAGTAGCCCTGAATCTCTCCATCTCTGCATCGCAACATGGTTTCTGAGACTTCAAGAACGGAACATCATCTGGAATGGTTGGCTTGACCAAAGACTTCCAGTTTCAGGCTATGTCTAAAAAACAACAAGAAGAAACACCGGGCCAACCTGCCACAGTTTTGCACGTGTTTTTCTTCCCAGACCTTCAAAAACCATACACCTACACCAACGTTCACAGCTCACAGCTCAACGAGCAACATCGCCTGGTAGCGGAGCCGGACCACCTGGGCCACCAGCTGGGAGGGCAAACGACCCTCATGGCCTGGGCGACGCGTCTGACAACGCGGACAGGTGCGGATGTGACGTGATGTCGAATGAAGTGGATTCCCATTGGACATAGTTGCCATTTCCAGCCCTGTCAGGAGTGGTTGATGGAAGGCCGGTTGACGTAGCAGGACGGATATATAATTGTTGAAACCAGTTTGTTTCCAGGTTTGTGTCCACCTGAGCTCGGCTACACGGGTTCAAAGCTCAGTTTGCCAATTGAACACTCGAACATAATTTTTCCATCAAAATGTGAAATCTCAAAGATGGAAGAACAAAATATACACCCTGCCGACCCTATCATCATGAAACATTTCAGAAATCGTTGATTGTGCTTGGCACTCCCAAAGCTCCGACATGCTCCGACTGGCCATGATGCGAATCGGTTTCCTTGGGATTCCCGGACGGCTCATGGCCATCAACTTCGCCATGGGTTTTCTCTCCATCAGTGATAGAGCCATTGGTCGTTGGCGGAGTGTGTTCTTTTGTAGGCACGATAAATATACAAAACGCATACAGGGAGCGTAAAAGCGCATTCTAGTTCATGTTCCAGCAAAGGTACTAGCTGTTCATGTAGGTGCAAGTAGAAACAAACCAAGAACGTCTTGGCTTACTCATGCTTACTTCAGCCCTGTGAAAAATCACACTGAACACCAAACCTTTTCTCCTAGAGTCCAGCTGAACATGTTCACAGCAAAAAGCTCTTAGTAGCCGTTCACGACTACCGGATACACTCCAGCGGGCGGCACCTCTAGTGAAGTGATTGAGCTTGAGCCAAACCTTCATGCCTCACCTCAGCGATGGCAGAAGGATGCATTGTACCATCCACCTCAACTAGATTCAACAGTAAGGGCTTGGCTGGCAGCTTCACACCAATTTCAGGATCCATAAATATATAGATAGATAGATAGATAGACCATTCTGAGTAATCACATTCATTCATCTCTCTTTTGGTGTCAGAAGCTCAACATCAAACAGAAGCTCGTCGATCACATCGGCTCTGCTGTCGAGGCGGTCACTTTTCCGCCCACTAGGATGAGAGAACGGTGCGAGAAACGGTTTGTCTCTGCTCCACCGCCTCTCTGCGGTGTCATCAGTGAGTTGAGACCACCTGGCCACACAGATTCAAGCCATGTGGTGTTTTTCTCTTGGACAGGGTCAAACGTACAATTAATAATGCATCTGATAACATAGCAGCCACTAAAAAAGTATTTGCATCACATGACCCCACAAACACACAATTGCAATCCAAGTTCCATGAGGCTGTCCCACAAGCAGCATGAAATAGGGTAGGTAAAGTTTAAAGTGCTTAGAAGCTACTAGGTTGGAGGCAATTGCTATTAGGTTGGAGGCCATTACTACTAGTAGCAAGAAGCTATGAACGTAGCAAGGTGCCTTACTAGTCTTGTTGACTTATAAACTCATAACTTGGCACTTCTAGACTCCTGGGCCAATCGAATCCAACGGGTCCGAGAAATCGCCCTCAACGCCGCCAAGTCACCATGCTGAATCGCTCGTCTTCAAATGTTGGAGCGAGCCTGCCCAAAAAGCGATTGAACCCTGTATTCAAGAAAAAGGGTTCCAACATGAATGAACATGATGACATCATCATGTATGGAATATTGCAGGATCTATCTCTGTTCAATCGACCTCTGGAACAGCCCAAGCAAGACACTATATTGTGAGGGGCATTACTTTGCATGTGTGACCCTTCGGCTGTGGTGGGAGGGGTCCGGCTGGGTGTCGCAATGTAAGTCTTTATCGGAAATCGTATGAAATTGGTGTCACATTCACTGAGATGTGTAAGTCTTGACGCAGCCACAGCATCATGAACATCTGCACTCATGGCTCACACAAATCATCGGGGCCTATGTGCATGCGTCGGGCCTCTTAAATTCAAGGTCTCACTGACTTACAAGCAACTCCCTCCATCCTTGTCCATTGCTTATCCATCTACTGTCACACAGTGACACATTCTTGGACACATCATGACACATCTGTCAAAAACGTCAGCCATCAACGGCCTGACCACACTGCATCGAAGATACTCCAAGAGAAGCGATCCGGCTTTGTCTGGGTGCGTGGATTGATTTCCTGGCAAAGCTCCGTCTAGTTGAATTGGGGTGGGGATCTGCTGACCGACCTGTGTATCTATAGTGAGGAGATATGTATTGATTGAAGAAAAGAAAGGTGATGCACGGAACAATTGAAACCTCCCTCCCAGTCCAGTATACGCCCATGATACTCAAACTATCAAAAACAATCACGTTCCATTGTTGGCCCTACTTGATTTGACTTGTGGCAGTGCATTGTGACCACTTGGTAAAGGAGAAAAGGTCCGATAGGCGAGCAGTGAACACACATTCCAGTTGCTGTGTTAGGTGTTTATCCACTAGATTCGAGTCTAATGGGGCAGTTGCTGAGCAAGTTGGTCTCCGAGAACGGATTGATCCAACTCATGGCAATTGGCTTTTCCCTACCCAACTCTTAGGAATTCTTGATGTTTTGAGCTGGGTACTGGTTGCCACGTTAGGTCTCTGGCCGCTTTCCCAGACTGCCAGGTCAGGTAAAATATGGACCCACAATTGCTTCGTTATTACCAGTAGCCCAGACCCCAGGTTTGTAAGAAAGTGTTGGATGAAAAACAGCAATTGCTTGTGAATGATCGCCTCAGCCCTTGACCCTGGAATGCCCTTGGAAATGCCCTCGCTGTGCTGTCCTCCACTAGAGAGAGGCACTCGCACCAGGACTTGCCTCAGGCTAAGATAGGGCATGTCTGTAGGTCTCGAGCATCTCTGAAAAGTCCCGCAAGAAACTGCATGTTGTTGCTTGAGTTTTGCCCATCTATTACTCCACTCATGCTACTTGCATCTACTTGCACCACACCACACCAGGAACACGTACTAGCTGCATGAGTTGCTTGCTAAAGGATGGAATATGTAATTTGTTTCCAGCAACCCGTTGCCGCACCTGCAAGCGCACATGCCCGCATTGCCTGGCAGCATGAAGCAAAGACCAACAAAAATAGTGGATGCTTAAACTCCAACTCCGGAAACTCTCCCCTTTATCTACCACCCCCCTTTCTTTCTGTCACCGTGCTGTGTCCCTCCCAAAGGTAGGTAGAGGTGACGTTATGATATGTGACCATATAAATTATCCATAAATATGCATACAAACAACGCTCGAGTAATGTCATCTAGCACCGCCACTATGTTGGCTTGGCTTCACAATTGGAACTGCAAAACAGAGTTGCGATGTGGAAAAAGAAAGAGACCCGGCAAAGTATGTGTCCCGAATCCCATTGGATTACTTTCTGAAGAAATAGAAACAACAACGCTTTTCACAATAGCGAAAGGACGTCCATTCTATCCTTGTCTCTATACGCCGTAAACCTCCCATGATGATGTAGGAGGTAGCGCAACTTTTGGCCAAGGAGCCGTGTTGAAGCACTCCGCATCCAGCATGGGCTCGCACATCTGCGACTCCTTGCTATGCGTGGAATGGTATGGCGTATATACAGGTGGCTGACATGAGGACGTCAATGGTCTTCTTCTGTCTCATATGTAGTTAGTAGCACTATATCACCACCTAGATGTTCAAGAAGTGCATAGTTTTCACTCCCAAAGCCTCGTCCAAGAGATCACACGAACCATAATTTGCATGGCTGGCCCAGAAACACCTGTCTGTTATGTTTTTAAACATATGTTGTACGGCTAGACCTTCATCAGTCCACGGTCCTCCAAAAATGCTAAGGAAAGCCTCAGCGGTTCCAGATCCGAGGCGATGTCTGGGTCCCAAAGCCACACTGCACAAGATTTGGCATAAGACTGCGAAGAAAACCCTCCTGAAGAAGCCTTGTTCGTCCAGAATGTGTTGTTTTGATTCGGAGGTAAGAAACTGTTCTCTGTATTCCAACTCCAGTCACCAACAGTCTGAGTGCCTGGCGGCCACTGAGCCGCCTCTCCTAAGCTGCCCAGCAGCGCGTGGCGGGCCTTCAGGTTCAGCCTGAGACCTGGAGCCCAGTCCGTCGATGTCCGAGCGGTTTGAACATTTCAAGCTGGATGGGGTGACCGCACGAGAATGTCCCTTTTTTAGACCGCATGAATCAAATAGTTGCAGCAATCACCAAGAGATGGTCTTTGGCTTTGGTTATTTTTTGATGTCTGTGTTCGTTTCAGTGACTTGCCTTGGAGCTGAGCATCCTTGATCAGCATCAAGGCCTCCGACCAGGTCCCCCCCGGAAGTCCCCTCAGTCGAATAGAAATCGGAAAGCACGTCATCTGGGTTTCTGTACCGAGCACGATGATTTGTGTTTAGGTTGCTGCAGGGCCCATGTCAGGCCGCCTCTGTCAGGCAAACCTCCAGCCTTTTGGGACCGGCAGTTGTTTCTTAAAAAAGTGTCAAGCCCATTGGCATCAAGGAGGCTGTAAGCTTCGTGACTAGCTTCATGCAAGGAGGCTGTAAGCTTGTGAGGATCCTCCTAAATCTCCCTCACTCTGAGAACGCCCCCAAGGCTTTGGATTTCAAGCACCAGCAACTGTTCCTCATGAAAAAGAACTGACGTGGCACGAATCAAATCTGATTGCCGGGTACTCCAGCAAAATCACTATGAGCAAGGACGCTACTAGGGGCTCCTGGCCATACTACTAGGAGCAAGAAGCTACTAGGAGCTTTCGTGTTCTCTCCTGGGCACTCCAGCGGAATCACATGACATGTGTTCTCTTTGATATGTGCCCCTTTGGCCAAGGTCAGCCTCCCGTGAGATCGGACTGAAGTACTATCCCTCGTTCCTTCCCTCCATCAGGGCCGGACCACAGAAACTAAATGGTCACTTCATATTGCTGAACAGCTCTTAGTCCATTTTAGCAGTTTTTCTACATCAAAGCGAAGGCAGTCATGGTAGCTTCAGCCTGGAGGTTGGAACACCATGCAGCATTTCAGTTAATTACCATGGAACCCAAAGAGAGACAGATAGAGAGAGAGAGAGAGAGTACGTACCAGTTGCCCGCCAGTAGATTTGGACACCCCAGGCAACACCTCCTGATCCTCCAATCTTCCAACCCCCTTTCCCGAGAGGTGCATACGAGCTTGTAAATGACCCAGGATGGCAGGATGTGGGTCTCCGAAGTCCCAGGCTGCATCTTCTCCGAGTCTCGGCCTCTTCCCAAAGAAGCCCATACCCACATGCTCGGATGGCCTGGGCAATAACCCTGGCAAGATGTCCAATTAGAGGTACACAAGAAACCATTTATAACTTATAACTGCTGATTAAAACCTCCCCGCAAATACTCCAATCACTCTTGCGCACTTGAGCAACATTTTTTTGTCAAAAGTGAAGGGGCTCTGAAATTTCACAGGCTCCGGCCGCTGCAACACAGCCGATGTCCTCATCCGGCCGCTGCCTGTCATTGTCCAGCGCCACGAGTGACTTCAGAAAATTACACACATCAGGGGTTCCTTATGTGTGGCCAAGGCTTACACTGCCGA